TGCGTTCAGCTCGCCGAGTGCGTTGTGTCGCCAGTGGGGCGAGATTGTCGTCAATGGGCGTCGTTCCAGCGTCGACCCCGGGCCGGCGCTCGCTCTTCGCCGACGGCGCCGTCCTGCCCTTGGCGCTGCGCCGCGGTGGCCCAGCGCCAATCGAGATGCCATTTCGTCGCGCAGACGGCTGCGCGCGGTCGTGCGGCACCTTGGGGCAGCGCTGGTGAATCGCCGAGGGGTCCGCTTGGTTGACGCGGGGTGCGACGCTACCTGTATCACCGCTGCCGCTGTCGTTGGCGCAGCGGTTCCTCGTCGCAACGTCGCGATTGGCAGGCAATTCGGTCCGCGCCCTTTCGCGCCAAACGCTGTGATCGTGGTGCCCATCGGGGCTTCAGTCTGCAGCGAGGAGCATCGCGCGGGCGCTCGCGTTCTCGCGTTCAGTCAGCCGCGATTGGTCCAACGCTATACCGAGCATTTTGCGATTAAGCGTTTAATTTTTTGAATTGCGTTTTGTCGTCAAAAGCTTCGCCAGTAGAATGGCGCCGCTGAGTTTTCAACGCAGCGTTGGCGCAGTTCCTGCCTGCGGCTGTCGGCCCAAGGGATGGTGGCGAAAATGCGCGGCCCGCTGGGGCGCGGGGTCTGCCTCGGCCGGGTGATTGCGACCGACGCGCCCGAGCATCGGTGGAGGCAGCCAGCGCCGAGGCGCCCGAGCCTCGCGCGTCCAGCTGCGTCCCTGGGGCTGGCGCTTGGACGAAGGGCGAGCAGGGGTTGCTGCGCGGCAAGATGCGGGAGATGAGGCTGGAGCTGCTTCGGCCGTCTTTCGTCTCTGTCGGCGCGCGGCTGCGGAGCTCGGCCCCCGAGACCTCCCGGCCTGGCTCGAGCCCGTCTGGGGCGTCGACGAAGCGCGGCTGCTGGCTGGCGAGGTGCTGCGCCTGCCGCCGCGCGCTACACCTGGTGCTGCGCCCGCGGCGTGCCGCGCCAGTCTGGGGCCCGATGGCCGCGGCCCCCAGCGTTTGCGAGAAGGCCGGGCAGTGGCGGTGGGCTCTGGCGCTGCTCGAGCAGAAACGCGCAGTGAAGCTGAGCCCAGCAAGCATCGTCCACTGCGGCGACGAGCGTGCGCGAGATGGAAAGGCCGTGGGAGCGAGGGGGGGCAGTGAGTGGCAGCGCGGGGGGAGGAGCGGGGAGGGGCGGCAGTGGCGGCGCGGCGGGAGGGCCAGAGACGGGGGGGGAGTAGTGGCAGCGCCGCTGGAGGACCAGCAGAAGTGGGGAGGGGTGGCAGTGGCGGGCGGCTTGGAGGAGAAGGAGAAGGAGGGGCGGGGAGGGGCGGCAGTGGCGGCGCGGCGACGGCGGGCCGCAGTGGCGGCGCGTTGGGCGGGCGGGCAGTGGCAGCCAGCCCCGCCGCTGCTCAACGGGGCGTGGGCGGCGAAACTGGAGCCCGCTATCGCTGTCTGCTGCGGCGTCCCTATCAGCGCTTGCGAGGAGGGGCAGTGGCAGCTGGCCCTAGCGCTGCTCGGCGAGATGTTGGGAGCTGGAGCCCGCCATGCTCTGCTACGACATCTGGATAGGCCTGCGCGAGGAGGGCGGGCGGGTGCAGGGGGTAGCCGGCCCCGGCGCTGTCTGGCGAGACGTTTGGAGTGGAGTTGGAGTTCGCCGTCGGCATCATCTGCCGCGGCGCCCTGATCGGCGCGCGCGAGATGGGCGAGCCGGGGCGGTGGCAGCCAGTCTGGGCGCTGCTCGGCGAGATGTTGGGGGTGAAACTTGGGCCCGCCATCGTCGAGCTGCCGCGCCCTGTTCCGCGCGCGCGAGAAGGGCGGGCAGTGGCAGCCGGCCCCGCCGCCGCTCAACGAGATGTTGGCGTTGAAGCTAAAACTTTGCGATCCCCGCGCGCGAGATGGGCGGGCAGTTGCCGCGGGCTCTGGCGCCGCTCAGGGAGACGTGGGTGGCGATGGTAATCCCGACCTCCTGCAGCTACGGCGCCGCGATCACCGCGTGCGAGACACGCGGACAGTGGCAGAGCGGGCGTTGGGGGGCGGCCGTGGCAGCGCGGTGGGAGGCGAGGGATGGGGCGGCAGTGGCGGCGCGGCGTGGTGGTGGTGGGGGGGGGCAGTGGGGGCGGAGAGGGGCGGCAGTGGCAGCAGTGGCAGCGCGGTGGGAGGCATGGGATGCAATGGCAGTGGCTGCGCGCGTGGGGTGGCAAGCATTGGCGGCGCGCGCGGGGCGGGGGGGGGCGGCAGTGGCGGCGGCGTGGCGGGATCGCCATGTGGAGTGGGAGAGGCGGCGGGGAGGGGCGGCAGCGGCGGCGCGACGAGGCTGAGAGGGGGGGGGGCGGGAAGAGACGGTGATGGCGGAACGACGTGGGCGGGCGGCAGTGGCTGCTTGGTGAATGGTGGGGTGGTGGAGCTGGGGCCCGCCGTCATCATGTGCTTTGGCGCCCCAGTCGGCGCGCGCGAGAAGGGCGGGCGGGGGGGGTGGCGGCAAGCCCAGGCGTTGTGCGGCGAGACGCTGGGGGGGAAGCTGGGGCCCGCCATCGTCTGCTGCGGCG